TTTTTTTTTTTTTTTTTTTTAACCCCGTTCCCCGACCCTTCCCCGGCGCACTCACGATGTCCTGGCAGATGTAACCGATGGCCTCGAGCGTGGACTCCTTCATGTGCTCGGTGCTGTGCTGGTTGGTGACGTTGGCCACCAGCTGTGGGATCAGCTCCGGCCATTGGTTCATGGGGATCTCGGCGCACGCGATGCCGGCCACGCACTGCGACGCCGAGCTGGGCCGGTACGTCTCGGTGCCCAGGGTCTGCAGCACCTGGCAGAGGGACAAAAAAAAAAAAAAAAAAAAAATTAAAAAAAAAAAAAATCCCAAATCCTTCATCTCGTGCCGCGAACGGCTCGGGTTGTACCGGGAAAAATGCTGGTGGGGATGGGGAGGTTCCAGCTTGTGGTTAAAAAAAAAAAAAAAAAAAGGTTAAAAATTGGAGAAATGGAGGTTAAATTCGGCCCAAAAGTGTGAATTTTTAATGCTGGAATAATCTGGGTGGTTTTGGTGTGCAGTGGGATTGGATTGATCAGGAGGATTTGTGGTGGTGGAATTTGAGAATTTTTCCTTAAAAAAATGGAGGGAGAAAAATCCCTCCCTGATTTATTCAGCTTTTCCTGTTACACACCAAGAAAATTTTTCGATTTTTTTCAATTTTTTTTCAGAAAATAAAGGGGTCCATTTTCATTTTTCTTTCACTTTCAGTTATACACCAATAACACTTTTAAAAAACTGAGATTTTTACAGCATTTCCCAGCCATTCCAATAACTTTTTTTTTTTAAAAGGAGGGATGGACTTTCATTTATCCATCATTTGTAGTTATACACCAATAACACTTCCTTTAAAAAATACAGGGATTTTTTTTTCAGCATTTCCCAGTCATTCACCAATAAAATTCTTTTTTAAAAACAGAGGGAGTGATTTGCATTTTTCCATCATTTTTAGGTGGACACCAACAACTTTCTCTAAAAAATGAAAGGACATGGGATGAGTTTTTTCAGAATTCCCAGTTATAAACCAATAACTAAAAAAAAAACAATAGAGATGCTTTTTTTTTTTACCATTGCCACTTGAACACCAATAATATTTTCTATAAAAAATGAAAAGAGGGATTTGCATTTTCTCTCTATTTTTGATTGTTCACCAATACAAATTTCTTTAAAAAACAAAGAAATGGGGACTCATTTTTTCAGCATTTCCAGCTCCACACCAACAACATTTCCTCTAAAAACTGCAGGGAGTGGGATGAATTTTATCAGCATTTCCAGTTGCACATTTTCATTTTCCAAGTTTCCACCTCAATGTTTTATTTTTGATTTTGAAAACATCAACAAATTGTTGGATTTCAATGCACCAGGAGAGTTCCTGATCCCAGTAAAATTCCATGGAAATAAAAGGATCAAAGGTGCTCCATCATCTCTCACCCAAATTTATCCCTCTGGTGTGGCTGCCCCTGGATCCCTGCAATGTCCAAGGCCAGCCTGGATTGGGTTTGGAGCACCCTGGGATAAGGGAAAATTGGGAATGGATGGAATTTCAAAGTTCTCCCAACCTAAATAATTCTGGGATTATAGAGATTCTATTGAAACACACAGAAAAAAAAATAAAAATAAAAGCTCAGGGGGCTGAGCTGAATCAATCACAGAGCGCTGCACAAATCCCAGCACCGCTTTTTGCTCCCATCAGCCAAAAAAAAAAAAAAAAAAAAAAAAAAAAAAGAACCAAACGAAACAAAAACCACTGAGCCACCACTTCTGTCTGTGCAGGCTCTGAACTCCAACTGGCACAGGACACAAAAGGATCCTCGGGAAAACACCCCAATTTTTGCCTGATTTTCTATCTGGAATTTGCAATTTTTTTCCCAATTTTCCACCCTTAAATCTTGCTTGGACTCCTGTGGATGTTGTTCAGCCCCAGAGCGTTTCCAAGGTGTTGATGGGGATTGGAGAGCACTTGGGGAAGCTCTTCCTCAGAAAAGGAAGGAAAAAATCTTCCTCAAAAAGCATTTCCTGAAAAACCAAGCTGAGCCACAGAATTCTGGAATGGTTTGGGTGGGAAGGGAGCTCAAATCCCATCCAGGAAGATTTTCCCCCATCCCAGCCTGGCCTGGGACACTCCCAGGGATCCAGGGGCAGCCACGGCTGCTCTGGGAAATCCCTGCAGGGTTTTTAGAGCCTCACTGGGAAAACTTCTTCCTTTTTGAGCTCATCTCCAATCAATCCTCTCCCACTTTCAAACCATCCTCCCCTGTCCTACTGCAACGTTCCATAAATCCCAGAAAATCCTGAGCTGGAAGGGACCCACAGGGATCACCCAGCCCAGCTCCCATCCCTGCAGGACACCCCAAAATCCCACCCTGGGCAGCCCTGGCAGCGCTGCCCAAACATTCCCGGAGCTCTCAGAGGTTTGGGATCAGGATCATCCCATGGGGAGCTGCTCCACAGCCCAAAAACCCTCTGGGGGAAACCCCAAAATCCAAATCAAACTCCAACCCCAAACTCCTGGAGCTCTCAGAGGTTTGGGATCAGGATCATCCCATGGGGACTTGTCCCAGTGCTTGAACATCCTCTGGGGGAAACCCCAAAATCCAAATATCCATCCCAAAACTCCTGGAGCTCTCAGAGGTCTGGGATCACAACCCCTCCACAGGGAACTGTCCCAGTGCCCAAAAATCTTCTGGAGGAAACCCCAAAACCCAACTCAAAATCCAACCCTGGAGCTCAGGCAGCTTTGGGATCGCAACCATTCCATGGGGAGCTGCTCCAGAGCCCAAAAACCCTCTGGGAGAAACCCCAAAATTCAAATCAAACTCCAACCCCAAACTCCTGGGGCTCTCAGAGGTTTGGGACCAGGATCATTCCACAGGGAACTGTCCCAGTGCCCAAAATTCTTCAGGAGGAAACCCCAAAATCCAACTCAAACTCCAACCCAAATATCCAACCCCAAAACTCCTGGAGCTATCACAAGTCTGGCATCACAACCCCTCCACAGGGAATTGTCCCAGTGCCCAAAAATCTTCTGGAGGAAACCCCAAAATCCAACTCAAACTCCAACCCCAAACTCCCGGAGCTCTCAGAGGTTTGGGATCACAACCATTCCATGGGGAATTGTCCCAGTGCTCGAACACCCTCTGGAGAAAACCCCAAAATCCAATTTAAACTCCAACCCAACAAACTCAATCCATAACTCAATAAATCCAACCCCAAAGTCCTGGAGCTCTGAGAGTTCTGGGATCACAACCATTCCATGGGGAGCTGCTCCAGTGCCCAAAAACCCTCTGGGGGAAACCCCAAAACCCAACTCAAACTCCAACCCAACAAACCCAACCCATAATATCCATAATTCAGTAAATCTAATCCCAAACTCCTGGAGCTCTCAGAGGTTTGGGATCAGGATCATTCCATGGGGAGCTGTCCCAGTGCTCAAACACCCTCTGGAGGAAACCCCAAAATCCAATTTAAACTCCAACTCAACAAACTCACTCCAACCCAACAAACCCAACCCATAACATCCAAAACTCAATAAATCCAACCCCAAAACTCCAGGAGCCCTGAGAGTTCTGAGATCACAACCATCCCATGGGGAGCAATCCCAACACCCAACCCACCTCTTCAGGAAGATCTTTCTCCAAATCCCACCCCAAAACTCCCCAGGCACGAAATCAACTCCCGGCGTCGTCTACGACAAAAC